AGTGGCCGGAGGTAGTGGTGGGCTGGGCTGGGGACTGCTAGTCTTGCCTGGGGTGGGGATTGACTGGGGTGGAGCAAGGGGAGAACGCTGCTGAGGGTATGGGCTGCTTGCAAGTGTGCGTGTGTGTGTGTGGTGGGGGCACCTTATCATGGTGCCCTGGACAGTCACCCACACTGCCCACTCATAAGGGTGGCCCTAAACAATGTACTTCATGGATTAATGTTGATGAAAGTAATATTTACTTTAGGGTGGTTGATTGAAGCATCGCATTTGCTAGCTGTGGTAAGGATACATTGACAGTTCATGAACCATGATGAGGCAAAAAACCCATATGGTTCTAACAGTTATACTTGCAAGTCTGCCAAATCCTATTTAACATGAGAAGAAACACATTGCTGTTGGGATTCTTTCAGATCCAAAGTGCAGCATGAACCCAGTAAGTCCCAAACTAGCAGATGTTTTATGGTTTATAACTATATATAACCACCCAATAAAATCTTTTGGTTTGGTTTGGTTTTTTGGCACTTTATTTCTCTGCAGTAGGGTTTATGTTTCAGAGGAGTCATCTGGAGAGGGTTAAATTGTAAAGCTGGATTTATAAGAGAAATCACTGAAGCTAGACTCAGTTGCATCAGTTTTCATATCTTCAGTTTTGATGCCTGGTTCACAATAAGTAATTTTAAATGTTAGTTAAGTACTGAGTTTGTTTCTGAAAGACTTTCTGGCTGCTGGAAAATCATTGCACCACAGATAGAGAAAGTTGTTTCTGGCTTTTAACAGCCTGGGGTACATGGAGCTCTTACAGCAAGAGTGATTAGTGAGTGGAATTAATGATTCTTAAGAGAGAATAATATTTAATCTTTTTTTTCTTTCTGTAATTTCTTTTTCTTCCCCCCTCCCCTTTCATATCTGTTTGACTGAAGGCTAGTCCAGAGGGGAGATAAACAATCATCACTTCTTAGTCTGTGGACTAAGTTTAGTTCTTCTGTTATCCTTAGCCATATGGCAGATGGATAAAGGAATGATGTCATTTAAGGCAGATTCCAGTGTGATTTGTTGTATTAGCTTATAAGGGCAATCATAGCAGGCAGTACTTTTTTCTCCTCTTTCTACTGCCTAACTAAACTGTGCTTTTATCCAGCTAGTGAGAGTTGAAGTGGTGGCAGGACTTGTGTCTGCTTTGCATTATTAGGTACAGTTCACACAAACTGTGCTCTCCATTGTAGTGCTAATTTTCAGTCCATTTCCCAGGCACTGTGTGTTCTTGTGTTTCTTTCTGGGGAAAGTGGCTGCATAAGTTCAGTCCCTTTTTTTGGTCAATTGGACTCTTATCTGTAAAGTGGACTTTCCAAACATATAGTTAATTTTCATTGTGCAATTACCTGAATAACTGGGATCGTCAGGGTTATAGGCGAGATCGGAGTTGGGTTTTTTATTTGTGAAGATTGGAATTTTTTATAGAAGATTTAGTAGAAGTTGAATTCTTAAGGCTTTTAAAAAAAATCCTATGTTTTAGAGCAAGGATGAAAACTAATTTGTAAATTTCGTAAGTTGCAATATTATTGGTACTTGATATAGAAAGCTGAAGTTCACCCCTTAAAAAGGGGTACATTCTTTTTTTTTCTTTTTTCATTGAGACCTTCCTTAAGTCTTCCTTCCTAGGACACAAAGCTTAGACCTTTTGTTTAAATTAATACTGTTAACTGAAGTGTAAATAAAGAATAATCTTGTTCCAATCTTTAATCCACGGAAGAAAATCCCTACACTTCAACTAACACAACAGAGAGCTTGCAGAAATGCTTGCTTTCTTTTGCCTAAATGTTATGAGATTGAGGGTGTAATAGCACAGTGGAAACTCAAATTGCTATCTTTCTAAACACTTGCATAGGCAAATCAAGAGGAGGAAAATATTTGTTAACTGAAGCAAAACAGTGATTCAGATATTTTCTAGTGTCCCTTTGTAATTATTTCCTCAAGATGCTTGTGGAAATGTAACTACATTTTAAGTTAATGACTGCAAAAGATCTTAAAACGAATCATTTACTTACTGTCAGTTACCCAGGGATTGAAAGGGCACTTCCTTCTGGATTTAGTCTCTAGAGATCACATGATCTGCTGACCCAGATCTGACACACTGAGTATACAGGACGGTCACCTAAGTCTGGTTAGACAACAAGCACAGAGACCTACAAAATTACTGCTGGCTTGGACAGAAACGAAGAGCATTATTGGTTAGAACTTGTTTTTCCACTTATTTATGGGAGAAAATGTAGGACTGTTCCTTTATGAGGGTCAGTCTATATCCTTTTTAAAGAGATTACATAGCAGCTAAAAACAGGTACTGTACTTTGTGGCAGGATTGACGGGGAAAAATGAAAAGGGTATAGGGAAGTTAATGTTATATTATCAATAGATCTGTCCTCTTTGCAATATATTTCATAATAAAAGTGTGCCAGAAAAATTTGCAACTCTTGTTCATGGGATAGATGGTACACAACTTACTCAACAGAAGCAAACAAATTAAGTGGTAAATGCTGGGTGTTGTAGGAATCAAGGAAGTCCTGTATTCTTTTAGCACTTGAAGCAATAAAATGGTACTGAGAAGTATGATCTAGAAGAATTGTGAGTACTTATAAATCTATTGACTAAAGAAAGAAAAAGCTTTGTAGAAGGACATACCTACAATAAGACATCTGAATTTGTTTAGAAGTAATGGGTATTTACTGCTTATGCTACTTTTCATCTATGTATATATATTTCTTTAAAACCTTTTCCTTCTTATCATTTTCCTATTTGACACTTAAAACATTATTGTAATGTATTGGTTGACTGTAAACCACCACTAAAGGCAAGAGATAGCTCTAATTGTCACTGTAAAGCATGAAAGAGCATGGTTAGAATGGAAATGTCTTGGAGAATGGGAAAGGAGCCTTTTGAAGGAGTTATTGATTAAAATATGGTGTATAGAAGGATGGCTTTCAAAGCCAGTTTTGCCAGGTTTTTTAATTCCAGATATTAGTCTTCGTGAAGCACTGTTGTGAGAACAGTATTGAGTAGACTTGCCACTTAGCTCAGATGTTATAACCTCAAAAATGGGATTCCCAAAATAGAGATTGTATTAATGTTCTCTATAAATATCTGGACTTTCTAGACAATACTGAGATCCAGTGTTTAAGTTTTTGTCTATTCCTATCAGAACAGTAACTAGGAGTTATCTGTATTGTGCATTGCATATGTATAATTAGAAGGGAATCGATTAGGATTTCATGCTGGGAACTATTGAAATAGAAGCTAATTAGGTTTCTGGTGTTTTCAGTTGTGCTAATTACTAACTTATTATTTCAGCATACTTCCAACTTGTAGCTTCCCTTCTCATCTTACTTAATTCTGAAATTATAATGCTGAAACAATGGTGCCATTTTGCTCTAAAGCAAGAGGTTGATAGCAATTTAGAAAGATAGCATCTTGAGATGATAGACAAGTTGACTAATTGGGTGCAGAAGCAATTTTAGATCTTTTGGTTCCAATCTGTTGACATTTGAGGAGTTGATATGTTGGGGGCATTAAATTAAACTTTTCAAATGTAATTTATAATTGCCAAAGTATAACTTACACCAGCATAAATGGAATGGCTGGCCTGGGAAACATAGCTTTTGCAACATGTTGGTTTGTGTAGGAGGGAGATGCCTAGGGAAATGCTGTAAAGGCACTGCGTCATAGAGTATCTCAAGATCTTTATTTAGGAGACTGAGGAATCCAAAAGTGGACTAAACTTGTTTCTCTTTCCTTCCAGCTGAATAAAAGGAAATTCAGAATTGAAACCAATTTCTTTTTCCCTGCTAAACTTTTCCCGTATATGAACACCCTAGTGTAGAAGTGATAAGCTTTTATTCAGGTTCTGTGCATCTCAAAATAGACAGTAAATTAATGATGTTTCAGTTCTGGTAAACTAGAAAATTGGCCTTGATTGAACACATTTGGCATGTACAGCAGATGGCTGTCTGTTCTGTCATGAATTAGTGTTCCTCTGAACTGGCTGTTGCACAAAAGTTGCTTGTTGCTTAGGACTATCTAATTAATTGTACCAATTCAAAAGAAAACGTTCTATTCTCTAAATTTTTTTATTTCATGTATACACAGACTTGGATAATGTAAAAATGAAAGTCAATTCTAGTATCTGTCAAAGTAATTAAAAGGGTTTAATTTTTTTCAGTGCACTATTCAAACTGGTAGAAGAAATTAGGCAGTAGCTTTGTTTGTAGTAGCAGCAGTACAGTCATTAATTACATACATTGATCCTTGCAAATCTGTTAAACTATTCCCTCCAGTGTGAAACTGTTGTGTATGCGTGAAAGAGAGAGATGAACAGACTTCTTAAACAGTATTCTCAGTTTGCACCAACAACTGAGAGTTAATTTTACTTGATAATGCAGCTTTTTACCAGCTATTGAATGGTTGTTATTTGTCCTTAATTTATCAGAAAACAACAGTGTGGAGGAAGATTCTGTACCAAATGTTATTAAACGAGTTTGATTTTACTGCTATAGTGGATGCATGTTTCTCTTTTTGGATGAATGTTTTGGGTATTCATTGTTTTTGAGGGGGATGTTGCCATAGGTAAGAGTGGTGCAAATACAATTAGCAGATCTTGGAATGGGTAATTTTACCACATGCTCAATGTAAAGTTTAAGAAAAAGATTTACACAGCATGTAACTACATCTCTGTTTGTGTAATATGCTATCAAATGGGTCTGAATATTACAAGACAGTTGCAATGAATTGGGTAATGCGGGGGCTGAGGGGAGTTCTCTTTTTACAAACGGTGAATAAATATCAAGTACACCTTATTTCTCTGTTCACATTTTTCTGGGCATACTGCGGAAAAAACCCTCACTTTTTTCCGTTTCAGTAGATGTTTAAAATTAGTGCTATTCATTAACATACTCATGCTAGCTTTGTTTCTTTCCTTCTTTTCCTTCCCGTTCCCCTTTTTCCTGTAGATCTATCAGGTTCAAAAGGTATGGTTTGGCTTCTTGCATTATGGCTTGCATGCATTTCTCTCATAGGTCTCGCAGCATTTCAGAAATAAACCCCTCAGAAATGTAAGGCATGCAGCAGGTTTTATTTTCTCCATGTGACTTACTTATACTCTGCTTCTTTCCTTCCCACAATCTTCAAGGTTAGCTAGAAGTGTAGGGGAGAAAAAAATTGTATAACTTTCCTAGTCAGACATTTAAACAGCCCCTTTCCCATGTCATACATCTCAAATTAGCTCAATTCCCATTCTTTACACTTAATCTCTACTTTTAACTCTCTATTGTAGTCAATAATAATTTGATGAACTTTCCCTAATAAGAGACGTTATGCAGACTCTTTGTATCAAACTCTGCATGGAGTAATGTGTGGAATGAATACCAAAGGCACAAGTTTTAAATGTACAAATAATAGTATTTACTGTGAAGCTACAGTAACATTCTGAAAGTGACAGCAGATGCATTCAGATTATCTCAAGTCAAAAAACCATATTGGTATATTAATGGTTTATAATACCTTTTGGGCAGTGGATCCAGGATTTTGAAAAGGAGGGGGTTTGGGACCAGCAACTGGTACTGCAGGAGTGGCTAACACCTTCCTCTTCCCCTCCTCCCCCCATTTGTTGTCAGCCACCCCCTCCTGTCCACCATACTGGGGCAGGTAGACGAACTTCCCAAAGTAGGTAAGAATTTCTCCCTCCCCTCTTTTTCCACTCCCAGCTCAGAGGCCTGTCCCCCTCCCCTACTCCTCACCTGCCACTGCCATTTTCCCTGCTGTCCTGGCAGTGAGGGGAACTCCAAAGTAACTCCAGTGGGGCTACATGGGGGGCTGGGCTCAGCTCAGGACAGTGGTGGAGGGTAAGCAGGATCTGCTGCCTCACGCCTGTTCCCAGGCTGATGGAACACCAGGTGAAGAGGGGGAACTTGTCTGCCACCTCTGCTGCTGTCCCAAGCTGAGCCCAGCCCCTACGCAGCCCAGCTGGAGTAGGACAGGAGCTCCCCTCACTCCTGGGACAGTAGCAGTGTCAGGCAAGGGAGGGGACAGAGGGGATTTTTAATTTCTTTGGGGAATTAAAGTCCCTGGGTGCTGCTCCTACAGCGTGGTCAGAAAAGGTGTGTGACCATGCCACCTGTACGTGCTCTGGATTCATCCCTGCTTTTGGGTAAATTAGAAAGGTACATGAAATAACTATGATATGTCTTTTATATACAAATTATCCATCTGTCTGAGTTGATTTAAAGATGCTCATCCCAAAATGAACCTCACAATTCATTATTTTTGTAATTTAGGAATAAACTTCTACTATTCAGTATTAACATTTTCAGGTCACATTGTACTTATGGTGTATGGACTGTAGAGTACCCGAAGGGAAGAAGTACAACTTAAAAAAAATCACAGGCATCATACTATCTTGGGTGAGAAAAATAGAAACCCAAGACACTATAAACCTGCTGCTGGCCATCTTATTCAGTAAATGCTGTTGCTGTGTTTATTACTTCTTGCTGAATTACTAGTCTGTTTTGAAAAATAGAGCTCTGTTTTGCCACTCCTGTATCCTTTGTTGCATGTTTCACTAACTGACCACAGTAGTGAGTACACTTTCTGAAAGTGCCATTATACTCTGAAAAGTCACTAGATTAAGAGATACTTGTTGAAAAGACATGCTCTATATTCAGAGTTCTAGCCTGATGACTTGAGCAACAAATTTGCATTTTACTTCTGTTCATCTCTGCAGAGTAAATTCTGTTTATTGGAGTATCACTAAATTCAGTACCTTTCTGCGTGTCACCAAAAGATTCATTATTAAAAGTTAAAAGGTCAATTTTATGGTCAAATTTAAACCCTCAGCTAAAATGGACATCTGCTGTTCAAGTGGAGGCATTCAGATCACAAAGGTACAATAAAGCAACATTTGGCCTTAAGAATCTTTACTACTGAATTTGGCGTGCAAGCAAGAAAACCCCTAGCTAAACTTTCTGATCCCACAGGTTGCAAGATTGGCATTTATTAGCTTATAAACTAAGATAATTTAACCCAGAATTATTGCCAGGTTTAAACACAGAACCTCTTAATGTCATAGTTTTTCAGAGTGGAATAGCACTTTAAGCTAGCTATGGTGTGCAGGCTGCATAGTTTAGCTGAATGGGTGAACATTTTACTTCCTAAAATTAATGGAGTATTGACTCATAGAAGTCAGAAGAAAGATTATCCAGCTTTGAATACATGAAATGTGAGAGGCAGTGGTTGATTTGGCAGGTATCAGTAACACTTTAAAAGGCTGCCAACCATTTGCAGTTCAATAGGAGGCGATCCTGTTTATTACAGCATTTTATAAATTGAATAAAGACTTGTTCCCATCCTCTTTTCACTCGGCTGAATTAAAAAACCCACGTTATAAATGATGGGCAGTTTTGTATAAAGCATGATTTTTAACATTTTCAGCATATCTTTGTATGGAAACTGTGTAAACAAAGACCTACTTTCTTATTCTTATGGAGTTTTATCCTTAAGTTTATATTTTAAATCCATCTAGCTATTGGGGAATTCCAAATACATTTTTTTGGAGGGGGCGAGATGTCTTTTTTTCAGGATTTTAACTGGTCAACATGCCCTGCTTTAGCAAGACTATGTAGGTAGGCATGAGGTCTTAAACCAGTGGCATATGGTTAGGGATAGAACCATACATATTTAATTTTTGAAAACTTTCATAGTTTATTACATTTCTGCGTGTTTTAATACTGGCCTCAGCTGCTTTGATGAAAGTGTTAGAGCTTGTAACTATTGTCAGTTGTTGAAGAAACAACAGAAATGTATTGACCTCTATTTTCAAGTACCTTTTAAGTTATCTGAACACTTAAAGCTGAAGGAGGAAGTTATACTACACTTGCACTAGGCCTAGCCAAGTCAAAAAGATGTGTTCACACCCATGCTTAAAAGTTTTTGGAAAAGGTTAGGATTTGCATATTTGAAGAGGGGTAGTTAGCCCTGTAAGTCTGCAGTCAGGCAGAGGACAGGGCAGGGTGGTACCTTAGACTTATGCATTTCTGAATTATTTGGTCTCTGAGGCACCACCCTGACCTGCCTTTTGCCTGTTTAAAGGCAAGCACATGGTTAAGTACTTCGCTGAATCGTGGTCTTTTTCTTTGTGATCTAGAAACATGATTGATGTTCTATTAATGCTCCATATAGTTACTCGAATCCAAGATGAAGTCTGTTTTACACATTCCACCCACCCTACCCCCGCCTTCCCCCATTCAGTGGTCCAAAAAGCCTTGTCTTTGATTTCAGTACTGGCCCAAGACAGGAGTCACAGCTGACACCTGCCCTTGGCCAGCCTTTATGTGGCTCATGAAGTAGGGGAGAGAGTAGGAGGCCTGTGTAGTGTGTAGCCTGGGAGGAGCTCAGGGGAGATGGTGGAGCAGCTCTAGCTCTTGTCCAGGGCTTGGGCTGAAGCTGCTGCTGCTTCCTGGCTGAAACTAGAACTGCCCCATAGGGTGAGTGGTGGCGGGGGCAGGGGAGTGTCAGGATGGTATCAGGCTACACAGGCACTGGGCGGCAGGTAGGGAAGTGGCTTAAGAGGGGGGAAGGGTTAGACCACTGCTTTCCCTGACACAGCAGTACAGGCCATGCAATTAAGATGACCCTCCAATAATTAGGTTCAATAATCATGAAATTAAGATGGTTCTGCACTACATTATAATTGATTTATAATTTTTCATGTATGAGATCTAAAGATCATATGTATTCAAATCGAACACGATTTTCCCCCTCAGTTAACGTGGGGGGGGCAGGGAGAAGGGGAAGCCCCTAATCTGGGACTCATGTACAAGTGTGTGTGTTGTGGGGTAAGGGCAGGCAGCTGCTGTTGCAGCTGTGACCCCAATTCTGACCCTGGTGCTGCTGCTAGACAGAAGTCTATTCACTTCTGTAAAGGACCATTTAAGAGCTGTTCACTACTTCCATAAAAACAGATGGAGATCATCGATTGGACCATTTAAATAAGCTTCTCTTCCTCCCAAGTAGGCAAAACTATACAGTACAACATGATTTGACAGCACGTTTTACCTTGAAAGTGTGCTTTTAAAATCCTTTACTGAAATGGGTCAGGAACCACAGCTTATTACTCTCCCTTCTTTGTGCCTTTCTCCATGGCTCTGACCTGTGATTATACATAGAAAACAGCTTCTTGTGCACAAGGAACATTGTTTGGGCATGCGTTGCTCTAAACAATGCTTTCAGAAGAGATTCCAGCGCTACAGTTTGCAGCTTTTCCCTGGCATGTTTATCTAATCTGTGTGTGCGTGCGTGCGAGACTACAGCTCAGCTAAGCCCTGGCAACTGCATGTATAAAAGTTCACTGCTTATCTTTCTCATCTAAATTCTGTTTTTCCCTTTTCTGTCTGTAGAAATATTATGGTCTGGATACTAAGTGGGGTGACATCGAGCAATGGATGGTAGGCTTGACCAACAGAATTAAACAATTTTAAACATTGAAGAACACTTTACAGTTTAAGAGTTTGTAGAGTAGGTATATTGCTGTATTTGAAGAATTGATGCCTAGGCCTTGTAATAAGGCTCTTGCAGTCTGAACTCACATAGCCACACATTAAAACCATCTTTAACATTAGCAACATATATTACTTTATTGTGCATTCGTGATGTTTTTTTTGGTGACAGTGGAAGCTCTCTCAGTAGCTCTTCCTTAGTTTAAGCAAAAGCACAAATCTTGGTAAGTTGTAATCATAGATCCACAGTTATTTTTAAAATTGAACCTGCAGTTTTCGACTATACCTTAAATCTTGTGGTATTAAGGACAAACAGTGTGGTGAACCCCCTTCACATTGCAAAAGTAATGCATTGCTTAGAGAGAGCCTGAAATCCAAATGTTTGGGTTTTATTAATCCATAAACCATTAAGCTAGACAGCATACATGGACTAAATTATTAAGAATATCTGTCTAATAGATGTCACAAGTCTGAAAGAGTTGCTTAAAAGGCCAGATTTGGTTTTTTATTTTATTATTATTAATATTTTTAAATTTTCATAGAAATTATTCCTTGACATTCAATTTAAAGAGTCAGCCACTAGCTGGAAACTAGAGAAGGCTGTAGTTTCCAGGCTTCGTGGTTTTACCATGCGAGCTATAGTGTTGCTCTTCAGATATTATGTTGAAGGGACATCTCCCTTCTCATCTTATCTTTTTGGTACACCTGACAATCACAATATGGAAGTTAATTTTTAGAAGTTCAGTGGTTTGCCCCATGCATGGACATTTTCTTAGTTAATTCCTAATTCAGAACCATCATCCTGATGACTTACCATCCTGAACAAAGTAAAGTGCCTGGTGTGCCCTGAAGAACTCAAATAATTCGTTATGTCACTTTGGATCTTGTGCTTTTTCAGACAGAGAGCTCACCTTCTGTAGTACTTCCTAGATCAGAATTTTAGCCCTTTTGTGGAGTTGTGCTTTTGAACTACAGAACACTTATTTAAGTTGGCTTGAAAAATGAGCATGTTTTAAACAACTTGAATACGACAAATGCAGATATGCAATATTTACCAATTTTTATTTTTTACTTTTATATATTTCTTTTACTAAATATCATTTTAAACCATTTTATTAAAGTTTAATACATCCTGCAACACTGATGTTGTTAACGGAATCTTTAAGTCCCCCGTAAGGCAAGATGTAGTGCATTCTAGTGATTGTAAATGGAACGTACATTATTTTAGCATGTTATAAGTCTTACATTCATATTTCATATTGTCTTCTCATCTTTCCTGGGTAGAATTTTCTACAGTTTATATGAAATAGACTTTTTCTGAAGCTGCTGTAGACTAGAAATCTTAGCTATGAAAAGAACTGTTGTTACTTGGGCTCCTAGACATACTAAGATAATAAATTTGACTGTCTTGATCAGTGTTTGTCCTATTATCTTCAAGGTACAAATGAAGTAACCAAAGTATATAGTTTGCCATTGATATTGTAGGAACATAAGTAAAGTGGAGGGGATAAGGAAGAAATAATGACAGACAAGTAAAGGAAATAGGTATATCATTTTTTCCCTCAGTTTCCAGTGTCATTTGTTGTCATCTGATTTAACCTTGCTCAGTCCAGTTTCCTTCTAAACACTGCTGACTTTTCATTGTTTCTTTCTGCAATCACTGTTTTGGTATTTCTTTTTCTTTCAACATCTCATTCTTGATTTCTCTGCTGCCTTGGTAGGAAGACAGTGAGCGTTATTCCCGTAAATCCAGAAGAAATGCTTCGGTTAGTATGTTCTTTTGTTTATTCTTTATACTTTGCATGATGGTAATCTGTCTTTAAAATGTATTTACATTATGTCACCTCTTGCAAATGATTCTGGAGAGCTTGTATGAGTTTTCCAGACCAGAGGGAGATAAAAATGAACAATAAACAGTATGGACTATGAGCCAAACATAGCTTAGGAATCGGCTGTGTAACTTCTTACCTCATTCAAACTCCAGTGGAATGCTTCAATGTGTGTTTTAGATGCTCTTCTGTTTGATTAAAGTAAGTAAGATATACTGAGCATTGTTTTAAGGTGCTTAGCTCAATTTCTGCCCCACCACTTTCCAATTCAGCTTTCTGTTTCTCTGATACTATCTGCATTTGCTTCATTACTCATTATCTGTAATCTTTTCATTCTTTTCTTCTTGAGGGTTTTTTTTTTGTATTTTCTTTTAATAGGCTTCGGATGAAGATGAGCGCATGTCAGTGGGTAGCCGTGGAAGCTTGAGGGTTAGTAAATTGTACAATTAAGTGTGTGTGAATTTTTATTGAAGTTGTTGTTCTTCCTCATCTTGGAATAGGTTACTTGTCATCCCTTCTAGAACTCTGATAATCTCTTCTCTCTCAAATCTTCCAATTTTGCCTTATTGTAGGCTTATACTTTGCAGACCTACCTCAAGGCTATCTGTTCTCTCAAATAAGAACTATATAGGCATTTCATATACATTAAATTGTAAGTATGAATAGAAAAAAAGCATAACATTCTTTAGATATTTTCTGTGCTAAATATTCTCATAGCTAATCCCTGAAGAAGGTATTTAGTCAAAATGTTGGTCTACAGGCTTTCATTTACAGATACTTCCTAGCGTTTCCATATTGTAATCAACACTGGGGAAAAATGAAGCATTCACTTTGAGGTCAGTGTTCAGGAGCTTAAACTAACGACATTTGGGAAAGCACAGCAGTTGAATGTTACTATGAACCCGTGTTTATACTTTTCATGTGAACCTGTATTAAGTACTCTGGGAATACAGATGGCTACTTTCTCTGAGCTGCTCAATTTGAGATATTTAGAGCTTGGCGTCCGTCTCTGAGATGGGGTTGGGCACCGAGGCAAATCCATTTTGTGGATGTCTGAGCCAAATTTTTTAAGAAACTTTCCAATCTGAGAATAGGTGTTTTTGCTTTTATGTCTGTGAAAACTTCCTGGTTACGTATAAAATGACTCCAAATTTTGCTTTGTGTTGGTTACCTGGATGAACTGAATAACTTGTTAGTCACAAAGTGAAGTTATTTTTATAATTCAAGGTAGGATTCATATTAATCCTAGTTTCTACCTTGTACAGAAAGGTTGTGCTTATTTTTGTATGTGATTCATATATTGGTCATGACATGACACTGATTTGACTATTAAGCTCACAATCCTGACATGAAGTGTTAATTTCACTCAATACAAGTAAAATATTTTAATGACTGCATTTCTCTAAAGAGAAAGTGAAGAGTTTTTTCCTTAGTGATGAGAGGAAAAAATAAATGTGATGTCTGATTTGCAGTACAGTTAAACTTGATAAGACGCGGGGGGGTGCTATCTTAAATTCTTTCATCACTGGGCCTCTTGGTTTCAATTCATTTTGCTTTTTGTGAGTGCTTTTTCAGTCAAAAGGAATATATCACCTGAATATAACTGTCCCATGGCCTGCAAGGAGGATTATAACTGAAATGTCATAAAAAATTACAGTCCTTATTAGACATCAGTTCACTCTATTCTGATGTCCATTGGTAATTAAAACCTGCATTTCACTTTCATGGGTCACAGCTCTTTTGAGAAAAATATATAATATCTAGTTTCTTTCCTGCAGTTTTAAGTGCAAATCTTCAGCTGGTGCAAAGCACTATATTTTCATGGCAGTCTATATATAAATAGCACCAGCTGCAGATTTGGCTTGTAAATATCTATGGATTACATTTGTGAAAACGCTCTTCTTTGGTGGGAAACTTCTGGTTTAATGGAAGATTTATGCTTTATTTCCTCTCAAGCTTCTCTTATTACACAGGTTTTTTGTTCTGTTTTATTTTTTTGAAAATAGATCTGCCTAAAGTCATACCACACCTGACTACTCTTATTACAGTTTAAAAATAAACCAAAACAAAACAAAAAAAACACAATAGGCTTTCTGTGAAAGTCAACATTTGGGGTTCTGTGCATACCCATTGAGAGCATTTGGACTGAGCCTCATTTACTGCAGTGTATACATACCCTAAAAATTCATTCTTGTTGCTGGGGTAGATAAAATCCCCTCGGGATCGGACCACTCTGGAAACTCTGCAAGCTTGTGTACGTTTTAAATTATATTTATTACAGGGAAGCTCACAGAATACAATTCTACTTGTTTTTAGGATATCTAATTCAGATTCATTCTTTCCCTGCAAACGTTACCCATTTTGATAACTTTACAGAGCTGAGTTTCACTTCCAAAATCATACTAGGTGCAATGTTGTCACAATATTAACTAACACTGATGTAGTGTGTTCATAGTTATTTCTATGGGTTTTTTTCCCCTCTTTGCTTGATGCTAGTTGCTGAAATTCCTGATCTCTAGCCCTGTGGTAGCAGTCCTGATTTAAAAAAACAGATGGCATTTTAAAATACTTTTATACCTCAGTGTCTGTTTCTCTGATTTGCCATCTTCTCCTCTTTGTGTTCTGAAACTTTGTTTCTTCTCCTGATCCTGACAGTCTGACTTGGAGTATGCCAGCGCCTATCCAGTGGTGAGAATAGTTTAACAAATCATGGTGTATGTTTAAAAACTGAAAAACTAACACTAACATCTGTATCTGAACAATGGTAGAGGTGGTGATCCAAAGAGCAAAGATCCTAAGGCAGTCTTAAGGGGTCCATGTGAAAAACTATAAGACCAAGGAAAAAGACTCACTTACCAGTATGTGAAATGTTTGTTTCGGAGGCAAGCGCTGAGGTTAGGGACACAAAATAACATAAACTGGTATAAGTGTTTGAAAACCAGTTCAAATCTGTAACGCAACAGAAGTTCAGTGCCCATAAACCACTTTCAAAATGGCTGAAACTGGTTTCAGATAAACCTGGATGGAGGTAGTATCAGATTTAAATTGGTTAAGTTAAATCGGTTTATTGAACTTCTGTCCCAGATCCCCTTCAGATTCAAGCTGTCTGCTCCAGCTGAGCGGGGAGGCATGCTCTGGCCTGAGCCACTGCAGGCATGTGGTTGCATTTCCAGAGTCAAGAGTGAATGTCTGTTAACTTGCTTATCAGTTTGATTTGTGCAGTTTAAACTAACCTGAGAAGATTTAATCGATTCAGCCTTGGGCATATTGACCATCTATACTTAGCCTGAATGAACAAGGACAATAAACTGACATATAACTAGAGATGTATCTTTTTCCATCATACTTTGTTATCTTGGGTGTTTGTTGGTTTTTTAAAGATCATTAGCCTATATGCAGTTATAATGCTAACATTTGTGTTGGATTTGTGCATGGATGTATTGCTGTAGTAAGTGTATATATAGGAGGTGGCTTTATTAATTGATTTAACCTAGTAAGCATAAATAATTTGAAGTCTAGCTACTAACTTAAACAGTACTACCTAAGTCTCTTTAATCATCTTTAATACAACTTCACTTTGATTCTGGAATGGTTCTGTTTTCTCTACTTACATTGTGTGTACACACTGGTATTCCTCTAAATTAGAAATCATTATAAAAAGTTTGGTGTTTTTGTTTTTGCATGTAGGTCTGCATGGCTGGATAAGAGGAAGATGGTAGGGGGTGGGGAGAAGGTGGGAGAAGGAATGAATTGATCTTTTCATCCTGCATTCTTAATCTCACTGCAGGCTGGATTAGAAAATGAGTGGACCAAAAAGAAGAACAACTCCAAAGCTGTATGTATTTAGACTGTCCTTCCTCTGAGAACTTTCACACAATGCTTTGATGGGGCTGAAAAGAAATTACCTAAGTACCTGGTATAGAGTTTAGCCACACTGGGCCAGATAGTTTGTTGTTTATCCTTGTAATCAGCCTATCATCAAGCATATCCTGGCACACCTTGTGATTGTGTGAGCATCAGACTTCCATTTGTTCTATCAGTTGAAATGGTTACGCAGCAGTGCTGCTCATATAGAGCAGTGTGAACATCATAAATAACTTCAGATATTAGGTGAATGTGTGACAGTATGTAGAAAAAGATGGCACTAATGTAACAGTATGTGAGAGGTGGCTACGGCTGTGTTTTTCTGGGGGGGGTGAGGGGGAGAATTGCAGGGGGCGGTTTCAGGTAGTAAAAGGGCTGGCATACTTAAAATATGTAGTGACTGAATGATTTTTAAAGCATTTAGTGAAACTTCTAGCAATTTAGTTTCCAAGTACTTAAAAATAGTTTTCTGTTTTAGAAAAAAGAAAAAAATGCTACCAGGAATCCAATAATGACCTGTTTTAACAAACAAACACCTATGGAATGTTTTACTTTAGAAAAATAGATTTTCAGGTTGCTCACAAGTAAGAGTACAGAGTTGGTTATCCAAAGCATTGAATGGCATGTTATCAGAGTTAAATTACTTCCACAACCTGAGTTCTTCTTCCTGTTGCATTGCTTTTATGCCAGAGTTGTTGCCTGTTTTTCCAGATCAGCAAAACCAGCATTTCCTTGAACATGTGATGGGGCTTTTACAGGAAAATAACAAGTAGAGGGTTTTTTTTTTAGTACCAGTGGGAGTGTTGCATTTAGTGCAAACCATATACTTAATTAGTATTGCACTTTTGCAGTGGACCTAAAAAGTTGTCAGATGTTTACTTCGGTCTGTCAGATTCATGTATAGTAACTTTTATTAAGAATTTTGAAGTTAAGCACGTTGCATGAGTGTATACAGTATCAAGGTCTGAATCACATTCATGTCAATCAATCTTTTGGCAGTACATGGGTAATAATAATAGTAAGAAGAAAAACTATCAGAAAGCTGGAATGCTTTTCAGTGAGTGTTCATAGCAAATGGTCACATCTTCCATCAAATCGGTGACCAAAAATAAGTCTTACTAGTAGCTACAATAATATTAATCCTCTGTGGCATGCCAGTTCACACACTTTTCAGCAGCGTTTATATATTACTTCATGGATCTGTATGACTGAGAGAATAGATTAAAAATGAAATTCTGACTTTGTCTCTCTGTCCCCTACCATGAGTTCTGTTGTTACTTAAACATTTTTAGTTTTCACTAATGCTTAATAAAGTGAATACTCAAAGTAAAGGTTGTCTGACATGATTTGAAATGTCCGCTGTAATTAGAAACTCCCTTGGAGTAAGTTATCAGGGGAGTGGCCATTTTGCATTTGATTTTGCTTTAATAGGAAGGAACTGTTTGATAGTCTAAAGGTGGTAGATAATTTGGGTAACAATGATCATAATCTGAGAGTACCTGATTCTAAAGAGAAGGAAGGTTATGAGGACAGTAGAATAAAAAAGTGAACTGCCAAAAATACAA